ACAAATGTAGGTCTAAATTTGACTTTCCATGCTTGAAGTGCCATCTCTTGGTGTCTAAACTGAAGCTTTTAAAGCAATATTTCGGATTGTAAGTTTGAACCACTACACTTGTAATTTTTTTTTCGAAGCGGTATTTTGCACGGCGAAGCTGTCATTGGGATCAAATGCAAAATGTATTTATGTATTACAAAAAAAAATACTCATTACTATTTTTAATTAATTTATTTGAGTTTGCACTAACCGTTTTTTGTTTCCAGCTGCCCACATAGCGCGGCAGTCGGACGCGACTATCGGAAACGACCATTGGGCCAAATTTTAATTTGTTTAATTTATAAATTGCTACAAATGTTTACAAACTCGCAATTAAATATTGCCAAATTTTAATTTGTTTAATTTATAAATTGTTATGTACAGATGTTCGCAAACTTAGATTCAAATATGGCTAATGAGAATTCGTTTCAATCTAGTCTATCTAGTCTTTGCAGTTTTCACTTTCTTTGTTCCTTTAGATACCGCACGCAAATACCGTTTATATAGACAGTTATGTAGAGACTGAAACACTTTCGAACAAAGCCCATCGTTATAAATCACAATTTCAAAACCACCTCAACAACCTCAACAACCCCCAAAATGGATGGCCTCAACGCCATAGGAGGCAATGGGAGGGTGGGTCAGTTGGAGCTAACATGGGAAAGGTACACCTGAGTGCAGGTTGATGTTTGAGACGAATCGTATAACGACGGCATGTTTTATGTATGTACACGCCCCGCCTGCACAATTGACAAGAACAACAACAACAAATGTGTGGAGAGTAGTTAGTAACACGCGAGCCTAGTACGAAAACGGAAATACACTTTTAGCGCGAAAATAGCGTCGTACGACTTAGGCTAATACGTGTGAGTGTGGGTGCGCATATGTATGTGTGTGTATGTAGATGGAACAAAGTCTAGCATTTGCTAGGTGAAATATGTGCTTACATACATATGTATGTATGTATATGTATTTGTTTATAATTTACTTAGTTAGCGCATTAGATACTAACTACTCAATCCAGCAAATGGAAGTGAAGTAAAAAGATCAGAGCAGAGGTGGAGATCATACTTAGTAATGGGGAGCAACCTTAGAAATTCTACCCCTACATCGCACATTGAATTTTTTAACATGGGACTAGTAAATTACAGTGTTGCATAAAAAAAAAAAAAACATAAACATGCAGAAATGCACGTACCATTCTAGGTGGAAGTGAATGCCTGAAGGAATTAACTACGCAAAAATGCGTAAATGGAACACCTACTAGTATTCAATTATTGTTAAAAAATAGTGCTATTGAGCAAATAAACAACTATGTATGCACATTAGGGTGGTCCTTAAATGTAGGAAGCAAATTTTTGCATCCGATTTCCTAAGCCTCAACCTCAAGATATCACATATACATTTTGGTCCCGATTGGAGACGGTTAAGGCATGTTGCACAGGGGGCAAAGTTCAGATTCCTTTATGGAGACTCAAAAAATTAAAATTATTTGTTTTTCGTCGAATACCCAAAATCGACACTGCTATAGTCGATATAAATTTTGGAACAAAAAAAAAATTTGGGACCAAAATTTTTATATGTTATATTCGACGCCGGTAGTATCGATTTTGGGTATGAGTTATCAAAAAAATAAATTTAATTTTTTTGAGTCTCCATAGAGGAATCTGAACTTTGGCCCCTGTGCAACACATCTTAACCGTCTCCAATCGGGACCAAAATTTGTAGTGATATTTGTGACCGTGGTATTGCCGATTGAAGCGGTGGGGCTGAAAACAATCGCTCATTTGATTTTTTAAGGACCACCCTAATGTACATATAAGCTTTGCCTATACGTACATATGTACAAATGTATGTATGTTTGTACGCAGATATGTGTATACTTTTATTTACATACAGTAGTCCAATGAGGTGAGCGAAATATTTGTAAATCATACATACATATCCATACAATTTCCTATTGCTATCTTTTAGCGCAGTAGGTCACTCAACGGCCACAGCATAAAGTAATGAACGCAACATTAACAAAGTGGGCTTTCTTGCAAAATATTTATTTATTATACATACATATGTATATTGAATGATTTTGCGCATCAGAAAATGCTTTGCGACAGTTAACTTACTACTCACAGGTGTAGTACACCTGTGACCATACGATTGATTGAGCGCCAAGCCCATTTTTCGATTCATTGGATTGGAATACAGATGAAAATTGCGTAAAAGCATGAAATCCACAAAGTCATGGAATTGTATGTGGCACACTGACTCATGCTAAGAATCAAAACAAACACAAAGTCTTGCGGAACAACAAGGTCTAAAAAAAACAAAACGGAAACATCAATAAGTTGCTATTTATTTTCAAACTTTGCGCCCACATGTCGTTTTTGGTGGAACGGGATAAAGAAAGCATGTCAGCTGTCAGTTCATTTATTACTTATTTTTGGATAATTCGCTGGGTATGTACTATAGTGCTTATCATAACTATACGATAGCCATATTTTGACAAGTTTTGATTATTTTTTATTTTTTTATTTTTTTTTAAATATTTTTTTTTTTTTTATAGAAATATAGCTCCATTAGATAATGCATGAATGTAAGTCCTCAAACTATGGGCTAAATTAAAAAAAAAAATCAAAAAAGTTTCATCGAAATTATTTTTTTTTTCAGAATTTTTAGAAAATTTTCAAAAAATTAAAAAAAAAATTGCCCAAGGGTATTTTGCAGAAACTTCAAGCTTGCGTTTGATTATACTAAAATTGAATGAAAGTGTAAAATTTTAATGAAACTGTTGAGTTTTTAATTTTTGTACAAAGTATTAAAATATGATTCATATAGTTTTTAATAGCGATGAACTAATTGCTAATATCCTTAGTAGTAAATATCGAATTTCACGTCATTAACATCATTACGTTTTCATTAATTGAGCCGAAACAAAACTACAATGAACGGAGACTAACATGCCACATTGTTGACAAAAGTGCGTCAAGTAGTTGTTGAGGAGTGGAGAGGCCAAAGAAGTTATGTTTTTGCAAGTCCTCAAGCTCGCTGCGCAAGTTGCAAGGCGTGCCCTGGTCGAGACTGGATTTGAAGAAATCAACCACCCACCATCGCCCGGCGATTCATTTCTATTCTCCTATTTGAAGAAAGACCTCCGAGAACGAAGATTTTCAAGGGAAGAAGAAATGAAGGCGGCAGCAAACGAGCATTACGAAGACAAAGATGGCAAAAAACCCTTTATGATAAATGTAAGAAGTACATATGTACATTTTAAAATTTATCTGCCTTTTAAACACAAACTTTATTCTAAAAAAAAAAATTGTTTGAAGGAGAAATAAAGATTAAAGATTAGATAGATTTTCATTTAATGAAAGCCATGTTAAGTAATAAATCAACATTTTTAGCGTTTAGCTATTCAGCAAGCAATACTATTTGCCACTATTTGCTAATATTTATTGCCACTGATATACAGCGTAACTAAGAAAGATAACCTTAATGTGCCTTCTAGGCGATTTAGTTGCTCTTGTACGGAAATACACTGGTATCTGGGATAGTAAATTTTTCACAGATCAGCATATCAATTGCAACAAAAGTTAAGTTATAAATCTGGCCAACTAATTTGCCATATACCAAAACTTCAAATTCTCATAAATAAAACGCTGGATAACTATAAGGACGGATGAAGGGGGGCAATGACGTCACAAAATAGTCACGCAAACAAGCCTAATAGAAAATGTCAAAAAACGGTACATTTTTAAGCAGAATTGACGCATTATAAATATCAAATTTATAATCGATTCTAAAAATCTAAGAGATACGCATAAAAATGTTAAAAGAAACGAGTACTTATACATATCGTCGTTTAAATAGAAAATCGCGTGTCAAGATAATGCAAAACATCGTATGTAAAATTGATCAAATAACGGATTTCTCTTTTAAGCCTAATTGCCTCTAGCCTTTTTTCTAAAAATATCGATATTTTGGTATGAATGGATAAGGCTTACTGCCAGGAGCTTCCGCAGAGCAAATCACATTTTTCGCACAAATGTCAGTTACTAGGTTTTGCAGAACCACGATACGCAGTTTTACACTTTAATGGATGTATTGAACTGAGCAAAATATCTTATTTTCCCATTTTAAAATATTGTAGATAGATATATATGCATTTATAATTGAATAAATTTTAACCTTTCCTAGAATTGTTTAAGATAAGAACCCCAAGTGGCACGACACGGTATGGTATTTTGTCGTGTTTTTTGTTCCAACTAGGAAATCTAATTATAATACTAAAAAAAAAACTATTTTTAGATCTAAAAAAAAAAACACGACAAAAAAGTAAAAAACCAGACTATTCAAGTGTTACATTTGCGTAACGAACATTCGCCTCTGTTTAATTTTGGTATACAATGTATTAGATACTCATAAAGAAGTGCAAATGTATATTTTTTACTCATTTGAGTGTTGGGATTAAAATTATAAATTAGCGGACTTAAATAACACCACTTGTTGAAGGGGGACGATAGTGACGCCCTCCGCAGCTCTTAAACTTAAAGACTTAAGCCAGTTTCATGAGAGCAATTTAACTTTTTTTATTTGAATTTAATATGAAAACTGGCAGTAGTAAAAAAAAAAAATCATTTATCTGTGATAAATTATCACTTACTGTACTAATTAATTACTAAATAAATAGAAGTGTCCTCGATTTTTAGTCTTTGCTGATGGCAGGACCTCGGCTTTGGTTCCTGGTCCGACCAACATAAAAAAATTTTTGTTTTTTAGACCTCAGAGTAAATTTCTGTCATGAAAAATATTTTCATAAAAAGAACATTTGCCATTTTAAAGCAGCATAAAACTATAGAGATTGCCATTTTTTGAGGTAACAACATTGCAAAAATTTCCTGCAATTTCTTAGAGGGTTGTGATCTAATTTGCCCTTATTGCCTTGTAACTAAAATAAGCCATTTAATACATACCGATTTGCGCGACATTTTGATATGTGGTGGCTCTTCCTATATAGTCAGCACAATTCAACTCAGTTCAGTCCAGTGAAGAAATAATCTGCAATTAAGTAAAAGATTGTTTATGAATATTAGTTCGGTAATACAAATAAAAATAATTTTTAATTTTTATTTTAATATACATACGTATATGTAAATTCAATCAATTGCGCAAGTTGGAACGAATACTCATTCTTTTGACCAACAGCAGTTTAATAATTTTTAAGAATAGTGTCCAGCTCTCCAGAAAAAAAAGAGTTGGATACTAAGCCTTAACCACAATCGCTGCTGTACCGGAAAATGTTATTTGTTATAAAAATTTCAGTAGAGTAAATGTTTTAAATGTAATTAAGGCTACAGGTCGCCGTGACTTTAATTGCTATTAAAACAATTAGATACACTACATAAATAATCTAATGTCGCTGCATCTGTAAAACTTAAGGAAAGTTGAAAAATAATTTTTTAATATGTAAATGGTACTTATTTTAACTCATTTTCTCAAGCACTACCACATTTCGCCCATATCGTTGCGCATGCGTTTAGAATGATACGTAAGTTGACAAATCGACGAATTTCTAGTCTTCATAAAAGCAGAGATACTGGCTTTAACAAAGTGTCGAGTCCCACACTTTTTCCTAATGACAACAACATTTTTTACCAGAGTTTTTTTGCTCTCCTGTTGCAATTCTGGAATGAGTCATAGCGTGCATAACAGATTTCTAATCACTAGTAGTTTGAGCTTGAGCTGTAATGAAACCGATTTTTATTTAAATGCATACTTTATTTATTTAAACGATTTTTGTTGTTTGTTACTCGTGATTCACTGGCAAAAATATTTGCTGAGTATAACAGTGCACTTATAAGGAAAAATATTGGAAAAATTGCATAAAATTTCTGTTATAGACATAAAATACATATACTCGTGCATATGTACAAACATATAAGAAGTTGGCCTTATTTGCACTAAACTTGTAAGCTTCTTTAAACTGAAAATAAAAAGTAACTACAAGTAAGCAAATTATAATGTCTTGCACACATTGGAAATATCGATATCGATTTAGAAAAGTATCGACATTGAGTACGCAACTATACTTAAAAAATAAGTTCTTTTGAGTATTCGCTAACGATTACGAGTAGATATCGGTTCAAAGTATTCAGTAGCTGGTTTGGCGCAGATGGATACGCAACCGCAATTATCCTCAGCAAATAGTGCATCCTGTGAGAATGTCAATGAACAGGTGGTAAGCAATAGCTTGATTATATTCTCAGAACATTCTTGCCTCAATTGGTTTTGTTGCTCAGATGTTGTTAATCCCATCAAGAATATCTGGAGAAAAATGATTCGAAAACTCTGCTTGAGAATTGAAGCCCGCTTTCGTGGAACTTGAGCTTCAATAACCCCTGAAATGTATTTCATTAACATAAATTGTATGACAAATAGTTTATTGACACCACATCTACTTAGACCCTGGGTATACCAGCCGGGTCCAATGGACCCGAAAGAGATTTTATTGTATATTTGTGGTGTTTTTCCGATCAGTTTAGTTTGGTTGAAATTGTTGTATTTGTTAGGCTTTTCTGATCTAACCGTTGTGTAACAGCCAACAAATACAGAGATTTTATTGTGCTGCCGTATCAATATCTGATGCGTTTAAGCTCCTTGACTTATTCAACAATTTTATTGAGTTTAAGGCCGTTTTTAATGAAAAATTATTGTGGAAAAACAGCAACATTTTACAAATGGTAGAAGTTAATGAAGAAGCTCTATGCTGTATCATGCTAAAATATTGTGTAGTTTCAGCGTATGTATTCATATTCCAGCATTTTGCGAGTCAATTGAAAACTTTATAGCGTTTTTTGAGCTGTGGCAAAGTTTAAGTAAATGAGTAACAGTGTAGATATTTCATATTCGTCAATTATGGTAAATTTAAGGCCCCCCCCCCTCAGCTTTGAAGCCTTTCTTAAGGTTTAACTATTTTTTTTTTTACATATAAAAAACTCTGTTTTTTGCATTATTGTATTTTCAAATTGGTACATTTATTAATAATCATACGAAATCACGAACGAACGAAACTATTTAACTTCACTATGTGGTGAAGCGCAGCCGCCGGGTAAGGTAAACGAACGCTACTGAGACAAGTGAAATCTCAAAAATAAGAAACCGACAAGTTTTTGTATTTCTGTACTCAGTACAACTAACTAACTGCTGTGAACTTGCCTTGCAGGTTTTGTGAATTTCACCCAAACCAAGCAAGCAGGACGGACGACGGTGACGGTTTATTTTATTCATACGCAACTATTATTAAGAAATCGTAATCATAGTAAAGATGTTGACCGCATTGTAATGATGTTGATGATGATGGCTATCATTATAATGGAGCTACATATTGCAAGTTCGTAATCAAATTGATAGTAGCCAACGAAACCAATGAAGAGGAAATGGAAATGTACGTACGTGTATGATGCGAGTTTACCCGTAGTAAACCTGCTTGAATAGCGGAATATGAACGAGTTCATTTATTTGGCTATTACTTGGTCACTTTTCCATGGTTGAGTGATGATGGCATAAACGAATTATGGTTTGGAATGTCGGTAGCACATCTACAATGGTGACCTGGCATAGTCATAATCGTCAAACCAACAATTTTTACAGTAAAAACATGAAGCATAGTTGTCGACTGAACGTTGTTTTTCTTATTTTATATTTTTGTTGTTTTTTTCCTGTACATACTCTTATATATTTGCGTCAGTGGACTTTTTAAATGGCAATCCTGTGATGATTGCCGCTGTATGGCAAAGAAAATTGAAAGCGTTTTGTTTTTTCTTCAATGAATGTCGGAATAAATTTGCACCTACCAAATGGCCCCCCTCAACGAATTATCAAAGCAGTAATTTCATGAAAAGTAAAGTATGTAAAGGTGCAATGCCTAAAAAAAAAATTAATAAATATATAAATGAAAAGGTAAGAGACACCGAAAAAAGTTGTTTTAAATTTGGCAACGCTGCAGTCGCTCGGTAAATACAACAAAACACCTACTGGCTGCTAAAGAGGAAATAATAATAAATATGTATTTGGAATACATGGCAAAAATACATTCATACAACTTATTTGCATTTTACTTAAATAAACACTTTTTCGTACATACCTTGCACTGTGAGTGCATCTGTTTCTTGTTTTCCTTTTAAAGGCTAACACATCCATACATGGGTAGCCATAAATACATTTCAGCGCGCGAAAATTCACCTTGAACTTGAGTTTTTTTTTTGTGTGCGTATATGCACATTTTTTGGGGGTATTTCAGCGAAACTCGCAATTGTGCTGTGTTTTTGCAATCCTATTTAAGACATGCGACAATACAAATACAAAATACTCGTCTTAAATTTTTGTGAAGCCATACTTTTTGTGTCTGCACTGAAATAATTACCACACGACGGAGAACCCTTTAGCAACTCAATACGTAAACCTTTTTTGTCCCTTTTTTGGATAAGGGAAAAAAATACACATAGAGCAGGGACCCGTTAGGGATCAGCATTTTTTACCGTGCCTTTAAATTTTACTATAATGCTGAATTTCCACTAGGCACTAAATGGCAAAAATTGTAATGACAAACTTGTACATAACAAAATATTTTTGTCATTACCTTAAAAAAATAGTAATTAAATTCATTTACACATGGCAGTTTTTAATTGGCTCCAATTTTTTGTCATTTTAATGCTTAGTGTAAGTAAATTGTACAGAATCTACTTTTATATGGATGAAAATGCGCAACAGCCTCGAAAAAAAATTCCCAAAAATCGCCGGCAACTTTTACCTACTTCAAACTAGCACTTTAGTAGACTTGAATTGAATGGGCTACAAAACTGCATACCAAAAAATTTTACAGATATTCTGATTAAAAAAAGTTTCAAATTTGTATGAAAATTTTTTAAAGTTTGACTAATTTTTATGAAATATATGCAAGCATGGAAATTTTTGTTTATGTGGTTTCTATTTTGAATGAAACTTATTAAAAATAAACATAAGTTGCAAACAATAACAATTTTGAATTTAAATTGGAATTCGATGCTAAAACTATATTCCCATTACAACATAAATTACTTTGTTTCGATCAAATTACTTCACATAAATCAAATAAGTTCACATTTTCTTTCATAATTTCTATAGCACGTGTACGTACGAGTGTGTTGTTTGTAGATACTTGATTTCAAAAAACAAATGGTGGCATGGCTTTAAGCATTTTTTTTCAAATTTACCTAACAGTGGGGGCTAAAATAAATGATAAATCTTTTTGCGTTTTTTTTGCGGTTTTGCATTATCTTGATACGCGGTTTTGTACTTTAAAGCCGTAAATTACGATGTGAACAAGCTTTAAATAAATAAATAAATAAATAAAAGCCCAACACCATCCTTTAAAACGCACTGCCTTCGGATTAAAATCCTTAGTTGAAGCCTAAAAGTCTTTAGAATAACGAAATATAAAAAAAAAGTTTTAATTAAGTTTGCAACAACAAAAAAGTCAAATGTTCATTGAAATGCTGAATAAGATCACGAAATTATGCCAGCGATCAGTTGCTTTGCTCACAGGCAAAACGGAAATGACTCATTCGCCCCCATCATAGGCAAGCGATTTAAAGCGCGTAAAATTCAAATTCTCAGATAACAAGATATGTA